AACCACAAATCATTCAAGATATTTTGATTGTTATGGATTGAAATAATCCTGGGCTATGAAACGAGTTCCCAGTTTTTATTAAATAAATTTAAAAAATATATTGGTATTAAATAGTAAAACTACTARATTAAAAAATGTTTAATATTCAAGTTGTATTATAATAATAATTCTATTAATATTTTAATTATTACTATTTTATTTATTTTTATTACTTAAATATTTGTTTGTTAATGTGAACATTACTGTTCATTTATTTTTGTTGTTACTTAGACCTTAGAAGGTCACTTATTTTACTATTTTGAAGATGATTATCGACTAGTATACGCAATATCTGCTTAGTGTTTACTATAAAAAGTATTAAATGGTTATATTAAACGGTTGTTTATGAAGTGTATTATATGTGTAGTGCTTAAATTAATGACATTGGCATTTTTGTAATTTTATATAATACTTAGTTCTTACAACTTAAATTAAAAAAAAATATATATAATACGGGAAATATTATTTAAAATGGCTTATTACTAATTATTACCACATTAAACTATAAAGAATAGATATATAATGTCATGTGTTCTAAAATACCTAATAGAATGAGTTATGCAAATCTATGGTGTTATAGATATCTAAAAAGTTTCTTAATGCCTATAGATTTTAAGATAGATTTAAATGTATATTTCATACAATAATAATTTTATGGAACATCATAAACAAAAGTATGATAATTGTAAAACCTATATTGACAATGTTTAGCAGGTCATAGAATATTMAGTAATTAAAAATCAACTATTTACTGATTATTTTAACAATATTTTTTAAAAATTGTTATTTCAGAAATATACATTAAAATACTATTTAAGTGTCAATGTAAAAAAAATTAATTTAGTTTTTTTGAAATTTTGAGTTCATTAAATATATTATAAGTAATTTAATTTTTCATCAACTCTGTTTTTTTTAAATTTCAGATTCTACGCTTTCCAAACTCAGCAATGTTTGCCCGTGTCACATTTTATCCAACTCTTTTATACAATGTATTTATGGAAAAGGTAACACAGCGTAACTGGTATGATAGAATTGATGAAAATGTTATACTGGGAGCATTGCCTTTCAGGAACATAAGTCAAAAAGTATGTATTTATGTTGGTAATTTATTGTAGAAATATTCCTTTAGTGTATTATCTATTATTAATTAGATGGATAGACAATTTCAAATTATTATACTTTTATTTACTAAGTATATTCATATCATCAATGTTTATTTATTGATTTCACATCTAGTTTTTGTTATCAATATGTGTACCAATTATATATAAATGTGTATTTGTAATTTTCATGTAGTTTAATTATTATTTATTATTAATAATATAATATGTTTTATAGTTATTTGACGAAGAAAATGTCAGATGTGTGATATCATTGAATGAATCGTATGAATTGGAACATTTCACTCCCCAACCAGATGTAAGTTAAATCATACACAATTAAGTATAGTTTATTACTTGGCCTCATATGTCAACTATCCTTAAAAATGTATAACAAGTGATGCAGATAATCATAAAATGTTTATTAAGTCAATTAATGATTCTAAATATATATACTTTTTAATTAATAATTAAATTATTGTGTAAATAACTCACGAATTGTTACTTGTTACTTATACATACCTTTACTTGTACCATATTACTCATTAAAGGTTTATTAGTATTTTTWAAATAGAATATGATTTATTCTGTTGACTTTTGTTTTAAAATATATTATAAATAAGATGTAAGTTATAACTCTCGATAAACAACAATAGTAATGACTGTTATGCATTTTGTTCATTATTTATGTAAAATTAATTTATAATGTTAAATACACATATTTAGGCTATATTTTTATACAGTAATTCTTTTAACACTAAATAGTCATCATTTTATAGAACTAATATTTTGAAAATATTAATTTTATTCACATAATTTGAGATCTTTAAAGAATGACATGACACTACTTTTGAATAAGTAATTAATTATTAGATATATAGATATTATATATATATATATATATATATAGTGATGTTGTTATTTATAAATTATAAGTTTTTAAAAATGAGCTGAGTAATGGTTCAACATTTTGCAGAGTAACTGTGTTACTAAACTAATTATTATAAATTATAAACTTATAACTAATCAACTAATTTTAAATTTTTTATTATTTTTTTGTTGTTGTTTTATTTCCAGAAAAATATTCTGCTTGTTATTG